AGGATTCGGTAAACATTCCTGCATTCGCCACGAGAAGCTTCCATGATCAGTCTCTCTGAGTTGAGCTCCAGCGGACCTTTGGGTCCAAACTGAGCCCTGTTCAAGTTCAGCACAGCAGCGACGTCCCAGTCTAAAGTTTCTGCCTCAAATCTGCAGGAGAAAAGGCGAGAAAAATATATGACAGCAATAAAGGTAATCTAGATAAAATAAAGTTAATTAAAACACAGTACTATTTAACTGAGATTAAATATAATAAATAAAATATAGGGTCAATAGTAATGCATTTTTAAAATAAAATTAAAATTAAATGCAAGCAATCTGCCATCTTCTGATAAATTATGAATAACCAACAACAACAGCAACAACAACAATAATAATAAATTTTAAATAATCAAATAATAAAATTTGGTAATTTAAGTTGATAATAATAAAAATAAATAAATAGGAATATTGTCAATATTTATACATTTATGCAATATAATTATAAAATAAAATAATAACTAATTAAAATAAAATAATAAAAAATGTGTTAACCCTAATGGGTTAATAAAGCTAAAAAACCTGCTAAAGTGAAAAGGTGATTTAATAAAATGTCGCTGTGTATAATTACATTTTTTTAAATAATGAAATGCATGTAAAAGTTGTGTAATTTTGTTGTATAAATGTTTGGTAATTTTGTAAAAGTGCTTTAAATAATATAAGATAAAATACTAAGCAGCAATATAAATTTATAAATAGGAAAATAATAATAAATATGAAACAAAGTTTTTTTAAATAATAATATTAATACTAAAAATAAAACACTAAATAAAACACTCTTACCTGTGTCTCTGTATGTGTGCATTCAGGCGCTGTTGTAGCGGCACAGCAATCGACAGTGACTCAGTGCTGATCTCACTAGTGCCGAAAAAGTGCAGGTCCAGCTCTCTCCTCAAACGCCTCGGGATGGGCAGGTGGTCTGAGTCTGTGGAGTACCTCTCGATCTCTGGAGGCAGAATAAAGTGATCCTCGTCCTCCAATAAACACAGATCTGACACATAATGACCTCTGTCTGCCCTTGACTCCACATCGACAGGAAAAAGGGGCTGTTTCAGGTCTTTCTCAAGCCGTCTAGTCATGTATTCTGGGAAATGCTCCAGACTGAAACCGTCCTCCATTGTGCTGCACATTTGCAGTAACTTTTCTCTGTGCCACAGGCCTAAATCCTGTCGGCCGTCCGGGTATGTCATGACCCCAGGGCCGAAACGTTCACCTGCATGATATAGGCCCTAAAGAGAAAAGGTTTTGTTTTATGTATTATGAAACAAATGTATTGTTAATGAATAAAATGGGAGTTGTTTACCTGAAACGTTGATCCATCTGAAAAAACTTGCACTCCGTATCCCTCTTTTCGATTCAGATAAAACTTTCCTGTGTATTTAGATCCATCCGGCCAGGAGTATGTGCCTTTGCCGTGACGATAATCCTTGAAAAATGAACCTTTGTAGGACTGATAAAACATGACGATTGTTTGATATTAAACTGGCAAAGACTTTATGATGTTTACAAATAATAATAGCAACAAAATAATCACAAATGTTAAATATAATATCATAATTATAATGTTGTGATTTAGATTATAAATATTAGGGCTGAATGATGTTGGGAAAAGCTGATATTGCGATATTTTATTTTTCCGCGATAAACATTGCGATACAGTTAATACAGTTTCAGAACAAAGTTTGAATGGCTCCATTTGGTAGACTTGTGTGGAGTCTAACAGTATATTCTGGCACAAAAATTGAATAATCACAATGCAAAAAATGCTTTTCTTACTTTGTTTTGTCTTGTTTCTATTCCAAATATCAAAAATTATTTGACCAAGTAAAAATAATGTTTAGTTTTCACTGTCAGAATCAGTCCAAATTAAGAGTTTTTTTTTTTTTTTGCTTGTTTTAAAGAAATTATCTGCCAGTGGGGTAAGCGAAAAAATCTTGTTTTCACTTTGATATGTAAAAAGACAAAAATTCTAAGAAAGAAATGTTTTTTTTTTGTTTTGTTTTTTTTTTTTAGCATAAATCATATAAACTCCATATAAATACAGTGATTACCGTAAATACAATTCTATGGCTCTCGGTTAACTATAATTCAGACTGTACATCGCCTATCTTTGCAATGTGACTATTGCGGATGCGCACATTGCATCAATGATGCTGAAACAATATATTGTACAGCCCTAATAAATATAATAAGTTGTTAGGTAAAAATATTAGGAAATCAAATGATGTGATTCTACCACAATAGATAGATGATAGATAGACAGACAGACAGACAGACAGACAGACAGACAGTTGAAATCAGAATTATTAGCCCCCCTTTGAATTTTTTTATCTTTTTCAAATTTTTTAATATTTTAACAGAGCAATGAAATTTTCACAGTATGTCTGATAATAATTTTTCTTTTGGAGAAAGTCTTATTTGCTTTATTTCGGCAAGAACAAAAGCAGTTTATAATTTTTTTGAAAACCATTTTAAGGTCAAAATTATTAGCCCCTTTAAGCTATATTTTTGATAGTCTACAGAACAAAGCATCTTTACACAATAACTTACCTAATTATCCTAACCTGCCTAATTAACCTAATTAACCTAGTTAAGCCTTTAAATGTCACTTTAAGCTGTATAGAATGGTCTTGAAAAATATCTAGTCAAATATTATTTACTGTCACAATGGCAAAGATAAAAACAAATCAGTTATTAGAAATGAGTTATTAAAACTCTTATGATTAGAAATGTTTTGAATATAGGGGGAAATAAACATTGGGGCAAATAACTCTGACTTTAACTGTAGATAGATAGATAGATAGATAGATAGATAGATAGATAGATAGACAGACAGACAGACAGACAGACAGACAGACAGACAGACAGACAGACAGACAGACAGACAGATAGATAGATAGATAGATAGATAGATAGATAGATAGATAGATAGATAGATAGATAGATAGATAGATAGATAGATAGATAGATAGATAGATAGATAGATAGACAGATTAAAGCTTAAGTAAACATTTGGCTTATTATTCAATAAATTTGCATTTCTCAAACAATATTAACTTATTTTAAATGATAGAAAATAAACAACAGCTTAAAGAGGGGAAATAAATACAAAATTGAGTATAACGAATAAAAAACACCAATTGTTGCAAATGTTAACGTTAACGTTACCTCTCCATTTGTCCATGTGAAGACGCCATCGCCATGTTTCAGGTTATTTATGAATTCCCCCTCATATTTGCATCCATCAGGCCACTCCTGGATGCCATGTCCATTTCTTTTGCAAGAAATATCCCACATTATACTGTTCTTGTCCTTATTTTTCAGCTCACATTCTGACTTTATACACTTTTATATGAGCAGCGTACTTAGGTGCCCTAGCAAAGAGATTTTAATGTTTAACGTCTGACAGTTACCATGACGACATGACGTCTCGCGTACATTCCTGAAACTGTCGTAAATTTTCTGTCAGAGCCATAATATGTGCGGAAAATAAAGTCCTCTTTAAATGAACTATACTTCAGCCGGTTCTTTAGTGGCATAGTTAGTAAGTTACTCCAGATGGTCTATTCACAACATAATATACAAGACAAAAGCCGGAGAGCCTCTTCAAATAAGCACGTGTCCCTCAATGGTTTGTTTTTCTGTTTCGAGTGATCTGCTATTGTAGCTAATAAACGCCGCGCAACTAAGCAACCGCAATAACCTGGGGTTTTCGAGAGCGCGCATTATGTTCACGCGCTATTACAGCTTTCTCGCTGCTATCAAGCACATAACATTGCACACTTGCATATGTGCGATAATATTGTTTGTTTAAATTAACTAATACGTATTTTTCCTGACTCATTAGACAGCAGCCAGTTGTGCAACAAGCTCCCTCAAGCGCGTGCTCTTGGGCGCGCGACACATGATACTTGACTGGCAATACTTAATGATACATGATACTTACAAGTGGCTGAACACGCAGTGCCCTTCTAACGAGATAAACATTTAATTAAGAATCCTGACGATTTGAATAAGTAACTACAATGACACCCATGATATTTTTTTGGGTTATAAGCTCTTTTTATCAGCTAAACTGAAGTCCAGTCTAAAAGACCAGCTAACTGGCAAAATGACAGATTAATATAAGATTTTATATTTATAATATAAGATTTTATATTTAAATACAAATAAAATAAATGAAAATAAACAATAAGACTCACTGGCCAATTTAATAGGTACCTGCCCTGCTGAAAAATCCAGCTTAAACCAGTCTAGGCTGGTTGGCTGGTTTTAGCTGGTCGACCAGGCTAGTTTTTGAGGGTTTTGGCCATTTCCATGCTGGTTTCCAGCCATTTCCAGCCTGGTCTTAGCTGGTCAGGCTGGATAATGACCAGCTAAATCCAGCTAAAACCAGCTTGACCAGCCTGGTTTAAGCTGAACATAGCTGGTTTTGGCTGGGCTCCCAGCCTGGCTAGGCTGGTCAAGCTGGTTTTAGCTGGTCATCTCCCAGCCTGACCAGCTAATACCAGGCTGGAAATGGCTGGAAACCAGCCTGGAAATGGCCAAAACCCCTCTAAAACCAGCCTGGTCGACTAGCTAAAACCAGCCAACCAGCCTAGGCTGGTTTAAGCTATTTTTTTCAGTAGGGGGTTCAACGTATTAATGCTTGCATCAATAATTTTGCAGTAACTCAGACACTGACCTGGTCAAGATGGTCTGGTGAAGTACAAACTAAGCATCTGAATGAGAAAGAAAGGTGATTTAGGTGACTGTGGCATAGTTGTTGGTGCCAGGCCGGCTAGTGGAGCAAATTGCCGTCAAATGGGATTTTCATGCACAACCACCTCTAGGGTTTATAAATGAGGATGGTCAGAAAAACTGAAAAGCAGTGGGGGAAATGCCTTGTACATGCCAGAGATATGTCAGCAGAGAACCTCTGAACTGGTTCAGCACACAGAAAGCCAACAAATAACCACTCATTATAAATGAAGAGCATTTATGGACACACAATTCATCGAACATTGAAGCAGATGAGCTACAGCAGCAGAAAAAAACTCTCTGTCAGCTGAGAACAGCAAACCGAGGCTTACAATTCACATGATATCACCAAATATGGACATTAGAAGATTGGAATAGGGTCACCTGGGTAAAGTGTAATGAGTCTTGATTTGGCATGAAAGCATGGATCCATTTTGCCCAGTATCAATGATTAGGGAGGTGGTGTACTGATGTGAAGATATTTTCTTGCCACCTTTTACCAGCCAAGACTTACAAATATTCTAAACTGTTCCAACACAAATTTGGATAATTTTTTTTTTAAATGTAACATTTAAAAAAATATAACCCAGTTGGTGGGCTAGTCTATATTTTACTCAAACTTCGGTTGAAACAGCCCAGCATGTATAAAGTGCACTGAAGACCTACATGGAAAACCAGCTGAACCATCAATACCCATAACACCATCACAATGTAGGATATATGGAGGAAATCCTTGTCTCTCCTGGATTATCTGTACAGTTTTTGGCCAACTGCAGTGCAAAGCAAATATTTACAGAGCATTTTAAAATCTCCCTTTATATAAAATGCCTGATTTTAGGAAGTTGAAACTATTCAAATTCATGCCCCCAGGCACATACTGTTCCTATTATAAAATGATTTTAACCATGCCAGACAGGTTTTTCCAGATGACGCGTTAAACAAAATTGAAATGCAGCATGTTTAAAAATAACAACCCAACAAATCACAATAAAAGGCATTGTTTATGTTTTTATCTAGTAACCAGGTGCAAAAGGCGGTGGATGTCGGTACTCCACTGGTAAGTTTCTATCACTGGATTTGGGAATACCATCAGATATTGGATGTTCAGCTAACTCCTGATAGTCATTTTCCACTAGTCCTTCAACATTAGTGTTAATGCTCTCCAAAGCAGAAGTGGCATCTTTCTGAAACAAACCGCCGGCGATCTCCTCATACGTGTGATCTTCAGAGCGCTTCTTTTTCAGCTTTTTCTTGATGTGCACCAGGCTCAGGACCACAGGTTTCTGCTGTTGGTTTTTCTGTTGGGTACGGCCTTCATTGGGTGTGTTTGGTGTGATTTGCTGTCTGTCAGGGATTACTGGCATCAACCCTTGCGATCTGTCCTCTGTGCTTGTTTGTAAGCGGCTTGGCAAGCGCATTCTGGGCGGTAACTGAGGTGGTGTTTCTTCAGTTGGAGTTTTAGAAGCAAATACTGTTCTAGGCTTCGGAACTGGCTTTGTTGGCTGATCCTGAAGTGAAAAAAAGCTTGATTAAACAACCTGTTTATTCATTCATAAATTTTTTTCAGCTTAGTCCCTTTATTAATCTGGGGTCGCCACAGCGAAATGAACCGCCAACCTGTTTATTAATTATTAAGTAACGAATAATTGACTCCAGTGTTTTTTTTTTGGTTTTTTTTTTCATTATTTTCAAATACACTCTCAGAAATAAAGGTACAGGAGCTGTCACTGGGGCAGTACTTTTTAAAAAAAGATTTATTTGAACCCAAATAGTCCACAGTGGTACCTAAAAGGTACATATTATTACCTAAATGTACCTTAAAAGTACCTCTGAGGTACCATTATGGACCCTTAAAGTACAAATATGTACCTTATGAAACGTTTGAGCTTGTCCACTTTCCCACATTCAGCGGTAGTCGAAAAGCATTTGATCGGATTGCTCCAACAGAGTGTTGTTTGTCCCCCTACTGACCGGAAACATCATCAGTCACTAGCCCGACAGTGGAAACGCGACATAATTTCGGCCTCACTGCTCATGCTCCTGGGCTATTGGCACGGCCCAGCCCGATAAAAGGCTCGCACTGGCCCGACAGTGAAAATGCGACTAATTGTGTGGCGTTTTGATGATAAGCAGAAGTTTCTGCTACTCTTCCCATCTTTCTCCGTCATCATAATTTCCTCTGATTTGTTAGTTGCTTGAACTTATTTCATCCACTGGTTTGAAATAACTGAAAACGCCCATACATAAACATGCACACTGTGCAGCTTAATCAAGTGTAGTATTAGTGACATAGTATAAGAGTGCACAGACGTGTAGCCACATGATTTACTCTTCACTCTGATGGTTAAAGGGACCGAAAATGGACAGAAGAGACACATTGAGATTCCAGGTGTGAACGGTAATGTCTGCTTTGTCCACTTGTGATCAGATCGACGAAAATGCAACTTAATACCAGGTGTGGACAGCACATAAGGGACCATCTTTGCATCTGACAAAACGCAAGGTGCTTCAAAAGATGTAAGTGTATATTGATCACGCTCATACATTAAGCATGTTTACATAGAAAAACATGTGGACATGAGCCATCACACCCCAGATGGAAAGCGCCATGTGTTTTAGAATTCTAAACATTCTATGAGAGTTGCTAGCATTGTATAGAGAACAAAGTAAAGAAGGAGACTTCTGTATACCGCTACATTCCTACTTTCTAATAATTTAACAGACAGGGGTCAGTTATTCTGCTTACACTATGGTTACCACAACAGTAGACATTGTTCCGATGTTATATTTGTTTGGTTTTTGTCCACAAAATGCTCCTGTATGTAGGACTAGTTTCTTACGCATCTCATCCAAAGCATTTTGTTTTGTTTAGATTTTTGACAGTCATATTCAGCATAGTGACAAATTGCCAAGAACTGACACTCAATAGAACGTTTCATTGCAACAGCAGCGCCCAGCAACATCCCCGCGATTCCGCCATTTTGGAATGAAAGTGATCGGTTGTCCATTGGATCTTATTGCTGTCGCAATGGCAAGCAGTTGCTTTGCTTTTTATTTATTTATTTAAAAAGTGCATTAAAGCTGGGATACAACCTAAAAGACGACAATACAGCACTTACTATCACAATCATCGGCACTTTTAATATTTTATTTTACAGACTTATAATATGCTTTTGTTCTATTGGAGTTTTCATTCCAAAATGGCCGCTGCGTGACGCTTGAGGCATCTAGTGGCTGTTTCACAAATCACACTAGAGTCTCGCCTCTTGGTGATTCTATGCTCTTTGATAGTGATATGAAACTGTAAAGACTGATTTATACTTCTGCGTCAAGCAAGAGCCACGCGAGTCCATTGGAGTGAGTGTTTACAAGTGTCGAGTCCCGTGAAGGAGCTCCAGATAAAAAGTTTTGAGTTTACCTCATGGTTAAAGTTGTTGCAAGTCCACCGGTTCCTGCCTCAAAATGAGTGAGTTTGAGCCACTTGTACATTAAGGAAGCGTTCAGAAAAAACAAAACACTAACGAAGAAACTCGACACAGTAACATAAACACCTACTGTCAGCTAGTGTTACAGAAGTATTATAGCAGAGGAACACGAACAGCCCGCAGAAGTATAAATGCACGGTAAAGCGCAAGGCATGCGCCGTCGGTCACGCTGATCACTCAACGGAGAAGTATAAACCAGGCTTAATGCAGAACTACTTTAGCTGCGCATGTATCTGAAAATAACTGCACACCTTAGAATGTTCATTAGCCAATCAGAATCAAACATTTACAGGTAATAAATTATATACATATAATGTCTGTTGATGTAATATTACCGTGCTCTGTATATTCAAAGCGCTCACTTCTGTCTCCAAGCTGGGATATAGTCTCCCAGGATGACTTGTAGAATTGTTTTGAAGCTGTGAAGTCTGGTTTTCTTCAGAGATATTTGATTGAAGCGTATTTGTTGCTGTTGAAGAACTTATCCATTCAACCTGCCTATGGCTTACATCTTTCTTTTGAGGAAATAACAGCTCAACATAGTTAGTTTTGCCGCCCTGAAACACAAAGGAGAAAAACTTTAGTTCAAATCAACACACATATACTAAGATTACGATTCATGGTTTCCGTCCACTCTTAGTGTGTCTGATGTTTTAAACAGAAATTGCATGCTATGTGAGAATGCAAAAGTGTACAAAACTTTTACTTCAAATTGTTTTTAAATGTGTGATGTATAAATTTTATAGGACACTAAGGCTGTATTTTTATAGCTCTACATTACAGCTATAATACAAACAACTTTAACGGATTAAATGATTTCCTATAATATTTTTTCTTCTGCAGAAATCTGCTTTTATTTATTCATTCATTCATTTTCTTGTCGGCTTAGATCCGCCACAGCGGATTAAACCGCCAACTTATCCAGCAAGTTTTTACGCAGCGGATGCCCTTCCAGCCGCAACCCATCTCTGGGAAACATTCACATACACTCACTCACACACACACACTCATACACTGCGGACAATTCAGCCAACCCAATTCACCTGTACCGCATGTTTTTGGACTGTGGGGGAAACCGAAACACCCGGAGGAAACCCACGCAAACGCAGGGAGAACATGCATACTCCACACAGAAACGACAACTGAGCCGAGGTTCGAACCAGCGACCCTGCGACGTTCTTGCTGTGAGGCGAACGTGCTACCCACTGCAACACTGCGTCGCCCTGCTTTTATTTAATATAAACTAAACAAATCTTTTTTACATTATACTATAATTATTATCATATAATGTATATAATCTTTTAATAATTTTTCGATGAATGTGAGAAATGTGTTATACAAATATGTTGTGCATAATGTTTTAATGCATAATTAATATGCACTATTAGTTCTACAAAAATAAGAAAAGTATTTTAAATCTTTTACAAAGAACAGTTTAAATTACATATTAAAAGGGAAAAAATATTTTCATACTAGTTTTATGTTCTTGTTTAGCAGGTGATTAGCATCTGAGGGGTGCCCAAACTCAGTCCTGGGGAGGCCGGTGTTCTGCAGAGTTTAGGTCCAACCCCAATTAGACACCTGAACCAGCTAATCAAGCTCTTTCTAGGTATACTAGAAACTTTCAGGCAGGTGTGTTGAAGGAAGTTGGAGCTAAACTATGCAGGACAGCGGCCCTCCATGACTGAGTTTGGGCACCCCTATTTCTAACTAGACTGATCTGTGTCTATCAAGGGAATTATAATGAATAGCCATAACCAAATTGTTTGCAACGTACAGGGCAACAATATGCTAGCATTTAAGTGTAAATCTATACCTGTTCACAGGCCACAGTGAGCAATTCATTGTAGGGGAGAATAGGGCATCTGCGATGGAAAGCCACCAAGTCATGAAGGGAACAATACACCGTCTTTTCTCCCACTATCATAAACTGGTTATCTGGCAATACGTTGATCATAAAGTGTCGGCATCGATCTTCAGCTCTAAAAAAAGAAGATTAACAGGTCCGCTGTTAGGTCTAATGGACTCATTTGTGTTTAGATGTTTTGCGACTTCCTTATAGTCAAAATTAATAACTGGCAACAATGGCCATATTCACACACACACACACACACTTACCGATAAGATAATGTATAACCCACTCTGCTTTCGCTAACACGAATAAGGAAGTAACCAGCCGGCTTGCACATCAGCATTTCCTCTGCAGCTCTAAAACACAAAATTATTTTATCGGACTGGATATCAGAAACCTGATTTTCAGGTAGATGACATCGTCATGACATGACACATTTCGAGCATTTTTGAACAATTCAAAGTCATGTTTGCATATTTTTGTAACATAAGTCCATTACTTCCTGGATATGATGCCATGAAACCATTCAGGAACAATTCCATTCTCCAAAATGCAGCTGCGCTGGTATTCTGTAAACCAGCTAAATGCTGCATTACTGCTGTCATTTGGCAAAGGAACGGCCATGACATCAAGTGTGTCCTATAAACACACAAATAATTGGATGAAATAATGTGTAATTTGTATGTATAAAGGTCAGTTTGTGTTTGTATCTAAATTTACATTAAATTTACATTGAATCATTTGGCAGATGCTTTATCCGAAAAAGGGGTTTCTGCAGGTTTCACAGAGTTAAATTTAAGACTTTTTAAGACATTTTTTAAAACTTTAGACTCATTATGGGCTATGAAAAATATTTTTCCCTATCCAAAATAAATACATAAATAAATAAATACATTTAATAATACAACAATAACATTTTTTTTATATTTTAGATTTTTTTCTTAGCAAATTTTTTTAAATATTGTGTAAAAACAAGCAAGCTCTACTTGTATCCATTCACTTGTTTTCCAATATAAACTTTCTTTAAAATGAAAAAAAACGAACAAATGTTTTTAAAGTTTTAAAAACTATAATAAACTAAATCTATGCACAACAATCTGTCCAGATCAGTGTCCTCAGCAGTAAATACACAGAGAACGTTTAAACAAATGTTATTGTATGGAAAACAATTAAACCATTATGATAAATAGAGTAAAAAATTACGGTTTAAAATAAAAGTTCAACGTTTTATTGAGATTTATTGTTGGTGATTGTATGGGTTTTGGCCAGATTGAGTAGCAATGCATGAACATGAGAGAGTGATTTTGTTAATGTCAAATTTAGTGTATATATATATATATATATATATATATATATATATATATATATATATATATATATATATATATATATATATATATATATAGGCCTATATACTCACAAAAACATTAATTAATTAAAACAGACCAAAATCTATGTTATATTAAAGAAGTCAACAACACTAACCGTAACCGTAAGTATGACAAAATGACAAATGTTAACCGTTAAATCAACATAATTCACACGTAGTTTTACTATCCTCACAATTTCAACTTCTAAAATTCTTTACATAATTCAGTTTCAGCCCTGGATAAGTGACCCGCTGTGGATAGCCTAATACATGTTTTATACGTCTGACATTAACAATAACGCATCAAAAATGTCATGTTTATAATGCACTCACCTGCCGAGGAACAACGCACGGTATTGTGACAGCAGTTGACGTGACCTCACCTGTTAAAACTGTTGTATGGGTGTGGTTTAATTAAAGTAATCGACACATACATTTAAACTATAAATAATTACAGCAATGTACTCCAAATCATTCTTCGGTTTCAGCTGAAAACATATCCAGTTTACAAACGTTGACAGTTGATTTGTTCGCGGGAAAATTTGACGTATGATAATACAGTGAGTAGTATTTACGTTACTTTCACCTTCCTGGAAGGTCTGGTCAAAGTCTAATTAGCTGAACCTGCAGGCAAATCAGGTAAGTCTGCTCGACGAACGTCACGGAAAGTAATGAATATTCATAAGCCAGTTCGTCCCATTTTTTTCTTGTTGGTCTGGCGGTTTTCGGAGATTCTGACAGGTCTGGAGGATTACTGTCAAAGAAATGCTTCGTTTTTGTGTCATATTATTGCTAACACTTACTGTAAGTACTTTTTTGTGTGAGATGTTTTGCTCAAACAGCTAAGCAAGCATATTAAATCAGCAATTCAGCACTGTAGATGGTTCTGGACAATAATCAAACATTTACCTCACGAACAGACTTTTTATAAAAATTTATTACACAGAAAGTGGAAAAAGAAACTTTTGAGGCATTTTGAAATACTCATTTGACAGGGGAAAAAAAAGAAAATTCACAAAAAAAGTTTCAGGAATAGCTAATATTTCTTTGGTCTTTGTTTGGTCTTCATTTTGTGTTGGCTCCACAAAGTTAACCTGGTACTTTAATATAAATGTATACATACCATGGTGCATTATCAATGGAGTAATGAACTGCAATGCAGCATGTTGACCAGTAGATGGCGCGCATGTTGTAATTATGAAAAACGCCAAACTGCGCTTCAAACGCCTTCATAACTTCTTCGGTTCTTCAGAATACACAATAGCACAACTTCAAGTGATTTTTTTTTTTGCTCGAGCACATGAATGTTCACTTTCCCATGAGGTATGACATTTATTAAGTTACTTAAAACAGGAAAACTCAGATATAGCACCTCATCGTTTGGCTAATTTTTGAAAGTTGTCGAGCCAAGTCGAGAAAAGAAAAAGCATAAAAGAAATACCTCAGACCAAAAATTAAATTATTATTCTGTGAGAAAATAGGGCTCAATAGTTTGCGAGTTGGAATGAAGGAGAGTATTTGTGGAATGTTTTAAGATGGACGTCGTTTTCTCTCATCGTCTTGCTTTATAAGCTGTTCAGCTCCTGAAGTGTTTGATCCAGCACTTGGTGCATTCCCAGGTTTTCTTCTTTTGCAGAAGATAATTTTTCTAAAAGCAAAAACGAAAATCATTAGTCAGACGCTCATTTTAGGCTATACACACTATTTTTACAAGCAGTTTAGTGCACTTCTTAGTGTTCTTCATCCACAACCATGTATGTGTTAAAAAAAGAAAAGTAAACATTCACTTTACTTGTGCTGACAAGTCAGTGTGTCAGTAATAACATTAGATAAGCATGAAATTTATGGGTACAATTAAATAATCTTTAAAATGTTAGGATTAGTAACATAATATATGAAGAGTTCAGATGGATAAACCTCAAAGTGCCATCTGGAATTTTCTTCTAAAATTAGCATTTTTCTCAGACGTATTTCTTAATTTAGTAATTTCACTTTTACGGCAAAGAATAGGTCATTTTCATTGATTTTAACATGAAATAAATGAACATAAGAGCAATTCCATTATTATGGATGTGACATTTGCAGTAAAAACTCAAAACATATATTCACATAGAAAGTATATATTAACAATATATTGAAAAATCTGTTTATATTTTCCAGAACAACTGACCACTGATTTAAGGTACCAGAAAAATATCAATCTGTAATCATGTTTTGTACTTTAAATGAGGAAAATAAAGGTGCGTTATGGACGTGACCAAAAAAGTATGCGAGTTGACAGTATACAACATACTTTGTAGAAATTCTGTAAATTAAACTGAATAACCCAAATGAATTAATGATAATCAAAAGGTTGAGTCGGGTCACTATAGAACAAAAATGATTGATTTTATTTAATTAAATATTTTTGCATTTATGAAGAAAAAGTGTTGTTGTGACATTTGATGTCATGTGACAAATGTGAAATTGTCACTTGTGCAAATTTGGTGAATTAAATATATAAGTTTGAAAACATTGACAGATACATTTTGGAGTATTTCTAAAGTTCTGTAAAATGCTTGCTTAAACAAAAAAATCCAAATGGTTTCCATATTTTAGTGAAAACTTTTTTTTCATGGCAAGGTTGACTTTTGCATGGAATTGCTCATATACATAAGAGGCAGAGAAAAAATGCTCATTGTAGAAGAAAATTCTAGATGGCATCTGAACTCTTTGTCTATTTATTATCTTAGTGTGAAATCAGACATCTAAAATGTAACCTCACCTTTGTGGACATCAGAAAACCGTATATTAAAGCAGAAAAATATTACATTGTGTATATAGAGTACATTTTTTGAGATATGCAACACATTTTAATCTATTTATTAAATAAATTAGAAATCTTTATAGAAAAAGAAACACTGTAACTGTGGGATTTTGACCACATACAGTTATTTTAGAGATGTTATAGTTACAGACATTTCCTAAAATGCATGACCTTTCCTGTCATTTGGGATAAATGGATAATAATTTAAAATAAATCAATAATTTTAGATTTGTGAATAAATTTTAACAATTCCTGGAAAAAACTAAACCAAGGGAATAATTCACTTCAAAGTCAACAACACGTTAAAATTAAAATGCACCTTTAAAGGGGTGGTCCACTACGATATCACATTTTAAATTTTTGTTGACGTGTAATGTAGCTGTGTGAACATAAACAACATCTCTGAATGTAAGATGCTCAAAGTTCAATGCAAAGGGAGACATTGGCTTTTACAGAGTTAGCCTAGAAAAGCTTACAGCGAACAAAGTTTGGGGACTACAAAAAAAAAAAATCATCCGGGTAAATGATGTCATAAACCCTCAAGGTTACGCACATACACCCTGTGCAGCGAATGGGTGTGACCAGAGGCGCTGTAATGTTATAACAGATATGCCTCCTCGTGATGTGGAGCTGAGCTGGGAATGACAGCACATTGTGTTAGCTGACCAATCAGAGCCTCTTGAGGGCGGGTCTTTCAGAGGAACTAGTAAATATGACAGTCTTTTTTATGTAAGCTGAGTAGCTGTATATAATCAAAGTAAGATATATGAAAAAATAACATGATTTTTTACAAATGAAGCATGAGCACCCATTGCTTTGCATCTTAAAACACAACCAAGCCTTAAAAATACACTCTGGACCACCCCTTTAAATCAATATTCATATAAAATATTTCTAGATTTTCCATGAATATAGAGACATTTTCCAGTCTTCTTGATGAAAATTTAGGAATGAAAGCAGAAGAATATAAAATGAAGCAACAGTGTTTTATTGAGAATAATGAAAACATTGAAGCAAAAATGAAAAAAAGTGGCAAGAAAGAGATGCAGTAGAGCGAGACAGAGATGGATCTACAGGGATGTCATGTCATTGAGAGCATGATCCAGCTCCTCAGAGATGGCTTTATACTTCAGCTTCTGAGCATAGAGTTCATCTGAAGATTGGCAGGAAAAGCGGGAAAGCGAAGGATGAGATGCAGCAATGACCAGAAGCAAAATAAAAAAAAGAGAAAGACAAGAAGTTAATTGGCTTATGAAGCTAAACATGCTATGAAGCTCACAGAGATCCCATTCTAACAGAAACAACCTAAGCAAATTGTGTGCAAACCAACAATGGCTAAAATTTCCATTCGACCTACAGAAGATAGGCACCCTTATTTACTTTTATTAGGCATGTATACTTTTATTAAGCAAATGTAGATTGTGGTCTTGTAATGAATTGAACGGCGCTGTAGGAAACAGACATACTTTATTTCTCTTGGGACAGAAGCAATACCAGGCTTGTTTAAACTGATTCCATATACAGACTCAACTATATCATCTTCCAGCAAAGGGTTCAAGTAGTATGAAATATGAGCCTGCTGGAACTCTGACAAAATATCTCTAAAACAATATGGTGTTGTGTGTTTCAAAAGATTTTTATAGCCGTTATATAGGCAGGGAGGATGACCCGCTTGTGACCTGTAAAACCCCATCCATGCAAGACTTCTCAAAGTGTGCTGCTTAGCCACTGGTTATTTCTAAAGGTGAAAAGTTCATTTAGCCACTTCCTAACCTTCACTAAAGTTCACTAAGAACTTCACTGTTTATACAAATCGTTTAGAGCGTATATCGTCGCTGCCAAGTCAAACGTACCCAATTTAAATGGTTGTTAGCTACAGCATATGCTACCAAAACAAATATCTAGGCATATTAACTCATTTAAAAAAGTAAATATCATTTTGGAATCAATTTTAGTATTAAAAGTATTTATCTATTCATTATGGTGGCTTGAGAAAGCCAACATACTGTTATTCTACGTAAACTTATTATTCTTTCGTTTTCTTCTTCTTAGACTATTTTAAGATCTCATTTCCTCCTTGATCATTCATATTACAACCACCAATTTAACTCCAAACCTCCAAACTATACTGAACCTCCAAACTATTACTGAAGTTGCTATATCTTTTCCAACTGATCCAACATACGGTTTTCCTAAAACTGACCCGAAAAATTTGTAGAAATCCTAATGACTTAACATTGGACTAAACTTTGTGATCTCGTACCTTTGCGCCAGACTGTCATACAGATTTAAGGTTACACTCATTTAACTCAGACTACCAATCTGCTAATCACTGATGATGACCTAACAACTTATTGGCCACACCCTAGCAATCACTTTCGGCAACCTAGCAACTGTCCCGTAGTCTTTTATTATAAAAAAAAGCTGCCATTGACTTTACATTGGACATACTTATGACATACCAAACCATACTGACAAACATACTAGCAACATGCTAATTCATACTAAAAACATACTAGCAACATGCTAATTCATACTAAAAACATACTAGCAACATGCTAATTCATGCTAACTACATGCTAGTGTATCCTAAAAACATGCTAGCAACATGCTAATTCATACTAGAACTATGCTCATTTATGTTAGCAGCTGCTAAGCAACTACTCAGAACACCTAAGCAGCTGCCTAGCAACGTTTGCAACGAACAAAATATCAGCAAATCTAGTTTTTGCACCAGTCCATTAAGTCAAATAATATTATTTTCTAAAATGAACCACCCAACCGTTTAAAATCTAGTTCTGGAACCAGTTTGAGTCATCTGAAGGAAGCATTTTGCTAAACCAATCAAGGCAATTTTTTACTACATCATTAGATAATTTTCTTGATCAGGGGTTCTCAGTCCTGGAGGTTCAGTGTCCTGGAGATTTTAGCTCCCAACTTGCCTCAACACACCTGCAAGAATGTTTCTAGAAAGCCTAGTAAAACTGCGGTCACACTGGACTTTTCTCCCTATAGACTTCCATTCATACTCAAGTGAAAGTGTCAGACTGGAAACGCAAGCTTGTGCGACAAGTTTCGCAGTCAGCTGCGGTGCAAAGTTCAGTGAACTCTGATTTGCAAAATCACATCAAGTGAAAACATGACCTCACTGCATAGAAATTTAAATTATGGACCAATCGCTTACTTTTTAAATGTCTAATCATCTTGTTTAATCCTGCCTCTTTTCACATTGCCGCACAACTGAATTTTGCATGCTCAAACTCAAGTGTGACAACGGCATAAGAGCTTGATTAGCTAGCCCAGGTGTGTCTGATTGGTGTTGGAGTTAAAATCTGAACGACACAAAAGCTGCGTCCCGAATCGCATACTTATGCACTATTCTATGCCATTTTGTAGTATAAATAGTGTAAGTAGTGTGTTCACACTGAAAACTCTAAAAACATTAAGTGCACTTTAATTACCCGGATGATGCACTCATTCATCCGCTAAAATTAAGTGTGTAATGATGGACACTTCACGCACTCAATGACCGCAGTTTTGCTTACGTAGCAGAAGGGGCGGAGCTATCGGACGCACATGTTGGATAACTTTATTTATTTTGGATGGTGAAAGCAAAATTCTCCTACGAGAGTGATTATAGCGCCTCCCGATGGTGAATGCGGCAATACTCACGGCAGGTATTATTTGATAATTCGGTTGTTTATTTCACTGATTTGGCAACCGTCAAACGTCATCAGGGAAACGGTTTGAATTTCCGCTTAGTAAAAAAACATTAGTGTGCCATTTGGGACACAACTACATACATATACTATCCTGTTGAGTGTGTAAGTGCATAAGTACATAGTGCATGAGTGCATAGTGTGCCATTTGGGACGCAGCTAAAGACTGGGGTTCTCCCTGACCTAGATCATTTGCTAAAATAAACCACACAAACCAATCAAATTTAGTTAAGGAAACCTGTGTGTGTCAACTAAATGAAGCAACTGACTAAAATTAACCTTTCAAAACCAACCAAAATCTGTGTTTTGAACCCATTTGAGTCATTAAAACATCTGGTAACTCCTCCATTCTCACATTTGATCGCATTCCAGAAAAAGCAGCAGCTTTGAAAATAGATGTTCACTCAAATGAACCGTTCAAACAAAGAAATTCACAAAAACAAACTATCTAAATGAGCCAATTCACCAAAATGATAAACTTTCCCAATCTGTTGCCACTATTCATACCGCAGTATCTAGGTCACTGTTTATTACCAGAATAGCTATAGTGTTTTTGAAACATCTACTCGCACGGCTGGAAAACGTTATCAAATTAGCAGAATCTCTATGAATAACTGCATGAACAATGTAGATAAAACTGTTTGAGCTGAACTGTTTGGCGCTACATAAATCTTGTTAAAAAAGAACTTGACACAGAGATTAACCCATAGAACTAATTAATGAGTTCATACCTTCAAGGTCATCAATGGATTTTTCCAGTTTGGCCACTGTCCTCTCTGCAAACTCTGCACGGGTCTCGGCCTAATAAACAGAATAAGGAAGTTTAAAAAAAAGTTTCTAGGGATGAGAAAGGGCAGCTTGTCTTTGACCTTGTCTCATTTATTGACTGCTTTACCTCCTTCAGCTTGTCACTAAGAACTTTGATTTCTTCTTCATACTTGTCTTCTTTTTCTGAGTACTGTAACAAAAGACAGACACAGAAAAAATATTTCTCTTTCCGACAACATCAAATCAACTTTGCATCCCCCTTGAAGCTATTTTGTTGTGGGAATTTCAACCGTTAGTCTGTAAATTGCCGTGTTTCGGTTCCAAAGCAATTATCAGGCTCTGAAGTCGAGCCTCAAATTGCACCTTTGTGAAAGTTAGCAGATAAAACAGAGGTGTTGACTTACTTTCTCTGCCTGAGCCTCTAGGGATTTAAGGTTGTTGGTAACGTTTTTCAATTCCTCCTCCAAATCACTAGCTTTGCTGTTTGAACAGAAAACAAGCTTTTAATTGGTAAGGCAACAAACATTCACTATTTAGTCTGCAAGATTAAAAGTGTGAGAATAGGTAGACGATACCATTCAGCGACTTCAGCTCTTTCTTCCGCGCGCTCCAGCTCACCCTCGAGAATCACCAGTTTACGGGCCACCTGTAGACAAGATGCTTTCAGATGAACAATTTCAAACGTCAAACATCTGGAAGCTGCGTTCGACAAGGTGCTTGTAACTCACCTCTTCGTATTTGCGGTCAGCCTCCTCGGCGATGTGCTTGGCCTCCTTTAGCTGCATCTCCTGGATCTCCATCTTCTCCTCATCCTTCATGGCGCGGTTCTCGATTACCTTCATGCCTCTGGAGGTGAAACGAAAGGTTAGTAATGCAGTCATTATTAATGACCTTTCAGGTAACGTAGATCAAAAAGTATGCTAACAAAAAATCTTAGATCAGGGGTGCCCAAACTGCGCCAGTGTCCTGCAAAGTTTAGCTCCAACACTAATCAGACACACCTGGGTTAGCTAGTCAAGCTCTTCAGCTGCGGTCACACTAGAGATTGAGCTTGCGAAATTCTGTTGTATGGCTCTGCGAAAAGGGGCGGAATTAAACAAGATAATTACAAATTTAAAAAAGTGAGTGATTGGTCCATGTTTTAATTTCCTGTGCAGTGAGGTCATGTTTTAATCCTCGATTGATCTCACACAGTCATGTAATGCAATTTCGTAGGTCAGAGTTCATTAAGCTTAAACTTTCCAATGCAGCGAACTGTGAAACTTGACGCACAAGCTTGCGTTTCCGGTCTGACGCATTTGTGTGCGTATGAATGGAAGTCTATGGGAGAAAAGTGCAGTGTGACCGAATCTCTTCTAGGCTTTCTATAAACAACTTGCCTCAACACACCTGCAAGGATGGATCGCAGGACACCAAGTTTGGACACCCCTTTCTTAGATAGTATTGAAAATTTACAGTTCACACAAAAAAATGAAATTTACCCATTTAAATTGAATCATTTTAATCATTAAAATGATTATTAAATTAAGTAAAAATGTTTACTTTCCCTCATGTGGTTTAAACCTTTATAACTTTCCTCTTCTGTTGAACACAAAAGAAGATGTTTTAAAGTGTACTGGTTGCTGGGACCCATCAAATTCCGTAGTGGGAAAATAAAACCACTATGGAAGTCAATATAGGTCCCTCAACAGAACAAATAAACTCTAATAGTTCATTTTTGGCTAAACTATCGCTTAAAATTTACCCTTGACTCACTCTCAAGAATATATTTTTAAAAATTGTTGCAAATGGTAGCCATTGATAAACATAGCAGGACAGAAAATACTATGTAAACCAGTTTCTACCATTCTTCAAAGCATCTTTTTTGTGAGAAAGAAACTTAAACTGATTTGAAACTTTCATTTTTTTGTGAACTATGCCTTTAAATATAACCTCTTGAACAAAGTAAAAGTAACCGTGTTCTCTCTTAAAATTATATTTGAATTCCATCACATTGTATAACACCTTACGCAATCAACTTCAGGATTGTTTTTCGATGAGATAAAGGTGTTTTGCTCGAAAAAAGCAAAGTAGTTTGAACTCAAGGCAACAAAGCAAATCATACCTTCTATCATTATTTCGAAATTAAAAAGTTTCCACTGACCTCTCACTCTCGTCTGCTGCTTTCTCCGCTTCTTCCAGTTTCTGCAGTGCAGTTCCCAGCCGTTCCTGAGCCCGATCCAGTTCCTCCTCCACCAGCTGAATCCTGCGGTTCAGGGCTGCCACATCACCCTCCGCCTGATGGTAATAAAAAGGTCAAAGGTTAATAACATTCTGACATTTTAATTTAACAACTATTGGTCACACTTTATTATCGGTACAATTCACACTATTAATAAACCATGACTTTTGCCTCAATAAACTCCCAATTTGCTGCTTATTAATAGATATTAGAGTAGTGGATAGGTTTAAGATCTCTGAGGATTAGGGCTGTAGAGGATTAGGGCTGTAGAATAGATCAAGCAGAATGTGTACTTTATAAGTGCTAATAACAATAGGGAGGTAATAAGCTACTAGTTAGTGAGAATTGGTACTTAAAATAATGTGTTACCCAACAATGTATACTAGGGATATGAAATAACGCTTTGCTATGTTTTCAGGTCTGCAGGGATTCTCTCAATGAGGGCATGTAATGTTTGTCAGTTATTGCACAAAGCACAATCAACTGCAGAAGAAAAAACATTTTTGCACCCTTTACGACCACCACCACCCGTTGTGATTCAAACAAAGATTGGCCTCAGAAAGAGCACAATGGTGCCTCTGTGACATTTCTCGGTTTTAAGAGACCTCACAGCCAAACCGCCCACTTACTGCACTGATAATTGCAACTATAATTATGACGAATATCACCGTGGTTCTATCTCAGAGAGCGGACCGAGCGAGCATGCCAATCACTTGGAAGGAAAATCTCAAAGCCAGGAAACTGTATCTGGGTTTTAACTTTCAGAGGAGACAGAAAAACAAGGCTTAAGGGAAAAGTCAAAGAGAGCAAATCATACATTTTCTGATTGCACCTTTGTTTTTGAGTCAGAGCTGCTGGTATTTATGGACTCCATTCAATGTTTGGTGGAGCCTTTGGAGCATGAACAGTAGTAAACACATCATGGCTGACTTACTACACCGCTTACTTTTATAGACTTTAAGCTTTTTACCACTTTTTACCTACTGGACGTCATCAAAAAACATTATTAAACATATAAAGAATCATATATCATAGTATAGGTCTGAGTCCAATACATTCCAACTTTTCATCACACAGTACTTTATCACAATATAAATGTACTAATCAACTGTTAAAGTGACTTGATGTAAAGAACTACAACCAAACCAATTATTCATTCATTCATTCATTCATTCATTTTCCTTCAGTTTAGTCTCTGATTTATCAGGGGTCACCACAGTGGAATGAACCAGCAACTATTCCGGCATATGTTTTACACAGTGGATGCCCTTCCAGCCTCAACCGAGTACTGAGAACCCAACCAATAATTTTCTGAAAATATCAAATTGGAATAGGGTGACACCGTGGCTCAGTGGTTAGCACTGTTGCTTCACACCAAGAAGGTCGCTGGTTCGAGTCCCAGCTGGGTCAGTTGGCATTTCCGTGTGGACTTTGCATGTTCACATTGGTTTCCTCAGGGTGCTCCGGTTTCCCCTCAAAGGCCAAAGACATGCGCTATATGTGAACTGGGTAATCTAAATTGGCCGTAGTGAACATGTGTGAATGTGAGAGAGTATGGATATTTCCCAGTACTGGGTTGCAGCTAGAAGGGCTGTGTAAAACATATGTTGGATAAGGTGGCGGTTCAATCTGCTGTGGCGACCGCTGATAAATCCGAGACTAAGCCAAAGGAGAATGAATGATTGGTTTGGTTGTAGTTCTTTACATCATGTCACATTGCCAGTTGATTAGTATATTTGTATTGTGATACCCTAGTACTGTGTGATAAAACAGGTAACGCAATGAAAAAAAGTTGGAATGCACTGGTGTTACAACCTCTTTGATGTTTTTTTGTTAAATAATGTTTTTGATCAATAAAGGAACTAAGCCGAAGGAAAATGATAAGAACTTCAAAGAAAGATAAAGTTAAACAAATTTAGATGTAACTTTGGTAGCTAGTTCACTATTGGATGTCATTCAAAGACTGTTATAAACATAAACATTACCATAAATAATAGTTTAGGTCTTTGAGTCCAATTCTAACGCCATGTTTGTCTCATAATCACTACTTATTTTCGTGTAATGGTGAGAGAATGTAATTTATTTCCTTATAATTGACATATATTGGACATTTCGATTGTTTATATCTCTCGAAGTCACTAATCATCAGTCTATATAAAGTTGTGTATACAGTTAAAGTCTAAATTATTAGCCCCCGTCTATTTTTTCCCCTATTTCTGTTTAACGGAGAGATTTTTTCAACACATTTCTAAACATAATAGTTTTAATAACTCATTTCAAATAACTGATTTATTTTATCTTTGCCGTGATGATAGTAAATAAAATTTTGCTAGTTATTTTTCAAGACACCTCTACACTGCTTAAAATGACATTTAAAGGCTTAACTAGTTTAATTAGGTTAACTAGGCAGGTTAGGGTAATTGAGTAAATTATTGTATATTGAAGGTTTGTTCTGTAGACTATAGAAAAACAATTGCCTTATAGGGGCTAATGAGTTTGAACTTAAAATGGGTTTTAAAATATGAAAAACTGCTTTTATTCTAGCCAAAATAAAACAAAAATATTTTCTCCAGAAGAAAAAAATAGTATCAAACATATTGTGAAAATTTCCTTGCGCTGTTTAACATAATCTAGGAAATATTTAAAAAAGAAAAAAAAATCAAAGTGGGGCTAATAATTCTGACTTCCAACAGTTTCAAGATTCTAGTTCACAACATACCAGATGACTATGTCAAATTTATTATCTCATAATGGCAAGAATGAAAATTTTTAAATATAACTTAATATCTTGTGTTGTTTCTACTCTCCTTAACGCTATTTAACTAATCGAACAAAGCATCAATGAAACTTTGTCTCAAAATCTAATTTTACATCTGGCGATTAAGAGAAATGAGGTCATAACTGTGAGACCTAATGTTTTATCTGAAGATAGAATACATCCGGGCTTTAAAATGTAAATATACCTTGTACTTTGCTACGTGCGAGCCTTTTTATCTCACAAAACGCCATTTGAATGTGCTATTGGAGCTTGACATCAATAAAGAAAGGACCGAATGGACATTTATTCACACATATTTAACCACCAGGCTGAGGGTGTAGGAAGTTAACCCCCTTTCGAATAAAAGGGAGCCAAAGAGGGGAGGAGAAAAATGCACAGGAAATGGACACACTCCACATCCTCTCCCCTCCCAACATGCACATTCAGTTCAGGGTCAGGATACTCCCTCATGAGCCATGCCCTTTCCTTAGTCACTGTGCTCCCTATTGCTTTAAACACAAGCCATATATGGTAAAATAAGCTCTGGAGAATGCCAGTGGTGAAGTGCCAAAAAGATTTAAAGGCTGAAGAATGGAAAAAAAAATACGACAGCCATATGTTATCGAGAAGCGTCTGGACGCAGCCTTGAATATTTTATCACATACAAAATGAACCCAAGCGCGCATATGTGTGATATGAGACGAAAACATTCAGAGATCGATGGATTTCTGAGTCCACTTCACATCATGATACGCTCAGGGATGTTGTGACGTCATTGTCCAATTATACGATTAGGTCTAATATGTCGGGGAATGACCTGGGACTTAAGTTGCTGACTTCCTGAGCCACAGTTTTGTATGTGACATTGAGCAAACACTTGAGACCAGCTTTATCAATGTAATGGCCTTTTTATGGACTGATATTATGAAAATAAGGCCTATCAGATGAAAATGAACAGAACGTGCTTCTTTTTCATCCTATTTCAGAGATCTGACTGGTAAGAGAGCCCAATAGTTTGGTGCAGATGCAAACCCATTGATTGTTTCTAACAATCTCAAAGAAATGCAGACAATTTTGGAAGCATTTCAAAGCAAGTGATCACTTGTGCACATTTAACTGTAATAAGATATGCAAAAGAAGCCTTCATATCATAATTTTTAACACCATGGGAACCTGCCAATGCAAATATGAGGAGCATTACTGAAACGGACACCCTTCCTGTTCTCAAAAGTCTAATGTTTGTAGAACATGCTTCACATATGTTTCCAGTCTTGTTTTTGACATTTAACCCCACTGTGAATCATGGCCTGCATAACTTATGATGACCATCATGGAGAGATCATAGGTCACATCATTAACAAGTCCAAGGGTGGGAAACCTCCCACTAATGAAAGCAAAGTCAGCAATATTTCTGTCACAAGCATTTGACTCGATGAAACACCCCTAAAACAAGGAGGAAAGAATTAATGCGGAAGAATGGGATCATGATCCTGACTAACATTTCTTAAGACTTAAATGGTCAAAAGAAAATCGGCACACTACCACTTTAGCTCTCAATCTTTTTTTTATGTAACAGTTTCGACTACATGGTCTTCATTAGGTTGTTTTTGATCAAGCACCTGCCTTTGAGAATTCTAGATGTGCGAACATTTCTTGGTTGCTTAAGACTTAAATGGCCATGGAGAGACAAAAGATGCACTATTCGGTCTACAAACACTAGAAGAACAGGACTTTTCTTAAGCTGTTCCAGCTTCCTGCATATCTGCATGGTCATCTGAGTATGAAGAGGGTCCACAGGAAACTCCAATGTGGAACAAGAGACAACATCCTGACTCAGTTCCTTCGGGAGCTCAGGATGGGACATCCTTTTTAGGTCTTTCTTGAGCAACACAATCGAATTCTTAAGTTCTACGAAAGATCTGCAAACAGGCATTCATTGATTAAATCAGCGAAACAAGGGAACATTTGCATCCCTACAGTCGTGTATACCAATACCAGTGTGTTCTAATGGTGTTTTGGTCATATTCTCTTGAATATTAAAGGATGAGTCTGAAAATTAAAATGGACTACCTGAATTCCACAAGAAAACTGATTCACTATCAACTTGATCTCAGTTTCTTTATTCTGTTGAACACCTAATGTATTTTTAAAAACCTCTAAACCTTAATTCTAAAGTAGATAAAACTAATTTTATGGAAGTCAATGGTTGCAGGTTTGCAACATTTTTCAAAATATCATATTTTGAGTTGAACAGAAAAATGAAACTGATAAAAGTTTGAAACAAGTAAATGCTGGCTAAATTGAGACAGAACTGTCATTTTAGGGAGAACTATCCCTTTAAGAACAAAACTTCCTTACAGATAGTATTTTGGTACAAAATGAAAAGTTTTTTTTTGTTTGTTTGTGTGTTTGGACACCACCATTTACCCATACTTCATTACATCAAAAGGATATTGGTGGAAATTGCTCTTAATTGCTTTTTAACATCAGGCTATCAAGTACACTGTCTCGGTAGATGGATGAATGCATTTAGTTATACCCAAAAGAGATATTATTTATATTTAGATTATATAGTAATAGCAAGACAAATTGGCAAAATTAATTAATTGATGAACATGATAAATGAATAAAAGCAACATTTTATAAACTCTTTATAAAAAGTACTACGCAGATAAATAACAGAATATCTGTATATTTCTTAAACCAAACCTAAGTTTAGCAGTTGTCTGCTAAAAAAAAAAAGTTAATTGTGTAAGTCAAAATAATACAAATCACTAAAAAAAGGGTAAGTGGTCCAATAACACCGTATGTGGAAAACAATAAGGCCTAACAACTGGCCCAAAGCAGATTTTGGGGTCGGACTGTCCTTTTGGACCAACGCCTTTCATTCCACAACCTCACGTCTGCATCCAGGTCTCGCTGTTCACCTAAACATACAATTATAATCTTCCGAGGAGCCGGGGAGCTTTTTATAGATGCCCGTGTTTACGGATGGACCGCGTAGAAGAGCCCACAGAGGAAGTAAGAAAAGTAAGAAGACAAAAAGTAATAAGATTTGTCTCACTTTCTCCCGGAGCTCGCGCTCATTGTCCAGCTCGCGCTGAAGACCCAAAGCCCGATCCTCTGCGTCATCCGCCTGCTGCTGCAAACACTGGATCTTTCTCTTCACAGCGTCCAAAGAAGTCACACCTGTCATTTTAACTAGCTTATTATATTATATTTACTACAAGAAAACAAAACGTAACGCGACTTTGGTCGAGGAGAAACAAAACGATGTGCAAAAACAACGGAAACCGTTTTTAAAAAGCTATAAAATATAAATACGTCAAAATGTAAAGGCTAAAAACTCTATTGTACCCCGAATACAGGGATGGTATAACAAATAACGGAATGCTGCTGTATTAGGATGATCTGTGCAAATAGGAAAAAATGAGTGGAAAATAAAACACGAAATGTGCAATCCAAGTTCTTCCCAGTCCGGATCAATACAAAACGGTTGAATGAGCAAAAAAAAGGTCTTCGCAGGAGGTTATTTCAGTCTCATGGAGTCATTGGAATGTGGGAGAATGTGAGGAGGCAGAACTTCTGCAGAAAAGTTTCAATGTAACTGTGGAAAAGTGAGCTACAAGTGACGTCACGGTGGGCGGGGCGCCCCTTGAGTCACAATACAGACTCATTTTATGTTGATTAGCCTACTCTGCTTAAAAATGTAGCCTATACAAAAACGTACTCTTTTCTTTTATCTTGACTCCTATTGAAAACAATTTGTTGATTTTAAACAATTGAATTATAGCATGCTGCATTCTTTGTGTTTATTTACACTAAATGAACACAATATATTTTTAACTCTAACAATAGAAATGTACAGTATCTGTGGGGTCAGATGAAAAAAAAATAGTTTTCATTTTTTATCTAATTAAAACCTTTTATTTTAGATGTTTTTTTATTAATCAAATCACATTATAATATAAAGCTGTTTCTGTCTAACTGATCTGACTCATATAATTGACGTTTGATTTAATATTTCAGAACAAAAACATGCCATTTTTTATTTCTTTTACATCGCAACACATTTAACCGTATGTCAGTTGAAATTCTTTCAAACTAAAAACTTTGTGACGTATTCAGAAATCTATCCTTAATTTAAATCTCACAATTTTGAATTATATCTCATCGTTCAGATTTGTTTTATTGTCAGTTTATATACTGCAATTTGGACTTTTTCCATAATATATATAATCTCCTTTTATCTTCGGCAATTAAAATCTTTAAAGTTTATAGCTCGTATAATTTTGAGTTCATATTGTGAAATTCTGACTTTTTTCCCCTCAAATTTGTGATTATTTCTCACAATAATGAAATTTTGGGCAATTCTGGCTTCATTATTTCTTGCAATTCTGAGTCCATATCTCATAATTCTGAATTTATATCTTGAAATTGAAGTTTACGTCTCGCAATTATGAGTTTATATTTTACATTTCCAAATTTCTAGCTTACAATTTAGAATTGCTTTTTTGCAAATATTTTGATTGATTACAAATTATTTTTTATTCTTATATCTCACAATTCTAGCTTAACTGAAGTCAAAGTTTTGAGATACAGTTGAAGTCAGAATTATTAGCCCCCGTTTATTTTTCCCCCCAATTTTTGTTTACCAGAGCAGATTTTTTTAACACATTTCTAAACATAATAGTTTTAATAACTCATTTCTAATAACTGATTTCTTGTATCTTTGCCATGATGACTGTAAATAATATTTGAGTAGATATTTTTCAAGACATTTCTTTACAGCTTAAAGTGACATTTAAAGGCTTAACTAGGTTAATTAGGTTCACTAGGCAGGTTAGGGTAATTAGGCAAGTTATTGTATAACAATGGTTTGTTCTGTAGACTATCGAACAAAATGTATAGCTTAATGGGGCTATTAATTTTGACCTTAAAATGTTTTTTAAAAAATTAAAAACTGCTTTCATTCTAGCCGAAATACAACAAATAAGACTTTCTCCAGAAGAAAAAAAATATTATCAGACATACTGTAAAATTTTCATTGCCCTGTTAAATATAATTTGGGATTCATTATTATTTTTTTAATTCAAAGGGGGCTTAATAACTCTGATTTCAACTGTATAATTCCAATTTTAAGTCCAAACTTTGAGGAAAAAAAGTCAAATTACCATTTTTATTTTCTATTTAATGGCGAAAACAAGATTCCGTATTTGGTCTTGTCATAAATTTTTTATTTCTATACATTTTTGTATGCTTGAAAAATGTATTTTTTTATTCACAATTCATTATAAAACTAAAAAGCATTTAAAATATGAAATGCAGGTTATGACTTACAAATTTAACCACCGCAATTAAACTCAAGCGTTCAATCACACCCCCCACCATTAAAAGCTCCAATCTTGATGTTCCACACCATTTCATCTGTGACACGCTTTCCTCAGAAGTGCGCTTTTGTTCTAAAGACGAGCCAGGGATCTCGAAGCATTGATTTCATTAGTCACAGGAGTGTGGCCCTCTGTGTTTGCTTTCCCTACATTCCTAGGATTCCTGGGCTGCTACATGCCAACCGAAATCCCAATCTCCCCTGCTGCTCCACTGACTTATCAGTAACAGGCCTCGAAAAATCCCTCGCTCATTCAGAGTCTTCTACCTTACTTCTTTGGCGTTGCGCATGCAGATGTATAATTAGTTTACAGTTTCCTCTAATGCATGACATGTGGTAGGTTTGTCTGGAGCACATTTTCAGGGCAACGCTCCAGATAAATGTGCTCGTATCCCCAGTTTCAGGCCTCTCGGTGTCTAAAGAAAACGAGAACATTCTACAGGAAATAAAAGCGCACTCAAAACTGCATTTGTACCACACTTATTGAATAAAGTCTGATGTCACGCTGTGTCCTCGAGAAGAATTTTGTGTTGAACATTCTAAAAAAAAAGTGGTTCTTTTTTTGGAATCTTTGGTTCCAAAAAGAACTTTTTTTAAATGCTTTCCATTTAAGTTTCTTTAGACGTTATACACACACATACATAGCACAAATTACAACTTCCAAAAATAAAGGTACAAATGCTATAACTGACACTTTTGTACGGTCCATTTCAGTTTAAAAGTACAAACACTGAAAGTTGACTCAGTGGATTTACTTAATTTTTTAAGTTAAGTGGTTGCAAACAATTTATATGGAATTTAAACACACAAATTAAGTTAAACATTACTAAATTAAATTTTTTGTTTAAATTCAACACATGTAACTAAAAGTACAAAGGTGTACCTCTTTTGAAATTCAGGTACCAATACAGTATGTATCTTTGAGGTACCTCTGTGGATCCTTTAGAAACAAATGAAGGTAAATTCGGTTTTATATTCGCACCTTCGGACTTTCACCTTTTTATATAAAGAACATTTTACCAGAAACTTATATTTTCCCTTAAAAAATGTGACAGGGCCTGACCTTTAAGCTTGTCGTCCTCAAAAAAAAAAATTCATACAAAAACAAACATAAATTTGAAAAAATTAAATGATAGAATGTGTCCTTGATCACTGTCAGCTTTCTTCTCTGTCGAATGCTGTCACTTCAGTGTCATAATCTTAGACACGCAGTTAATAGCATAACAAAACTAAAGCTAGGTTCAACTGGGCTGAGGACAAGGACACAGACAGGGTTGCAACATTTGTAAATTGTTTTTAATAAAGAAAGAAATCTGAGAACCAAATGAATGATTCATTTATAGAGCAACTCACAGAAATCAACCATCAGTCCATTTTAGACATCTTTGGGATTAATTATTTTTTATTATGACTGTATTTATGTTTTTATTTCAGGGACAGATAGTTTACGTATCTTGCAGAATGTCTTAGAATTTCAGAAAAGTATTCTTTGCCAATTCTAAATAGTAAAATCAAAGCAGTCAATGACTATCAAAGTACAACATTGTTCACAGTTAATTAAATGGTTCTAGTGTTGTTTTGAGGTCATACTTGCATGTCATTTCAGACCGAATATTCAAAGTAGCATGTCACAAATTGGAACTGTTCAAAAATGAATGAATGTGTGAACATAAAACCAACTTTACCACAATTAGGTACTACAAATCTATCAGTGACAGCTCTCGCACGTTTATGTATAAAAATTATTAAATTGATAAATTTAACTACTTTTTCTTATATAAATCATGAGTAAACGTAATTTTAATTTTATTTTGTAAACTATTGATGACATTTCTTCCAAATTTAAAATTAAAATGATGTGATTTAAAGCATGATTGTTTTTAAAAGATAACTAAAAGGTGTGGCAACGGTGTTTTCAGAAGTTTATATTCATTTTTAGACAACACAATGCACATTTGTTTAACATCAGAAGACTTCAGAATACAAAATTTGGTGCAATAACCCTGATTTTCATTGCTATTTTTTCAAGAAAAAAAACTAAATAATCAATTATGTATTTAAAGTTTGGAGGAAATCTTATTAGAACTTAATACATTTCAAACCCACATCTAACAAATCCAGCAAATTTAGAGAGTCTCTAAATGTTTTGTCCATAACTTGAAAAAGAACTATTTACTTAAAGGTTATTTATTTTGGAATCCCTGTGAGGAAAAAAAAGGAAAAAACACATGGAGTACACTTTAAATCTCTCATTCACAAATGGATTTTCACCCCATGTTGGAATCATTAAGAATTCACAAACAAGTGGTTCGCCCCTCCACAGCTTCCTCCTCAAACTATGTAGTCATTTCCTTTGAGGTCATACTATGAGGAGTAACCTGAGGTTATCAGGATGGACTCCTTCACAGAAAATGCAGGTGTGATTACGGCAATTTTCAGATACGTCCCTAGGCTAAATGTGTTCTCACAGGCAGCATGTGTTGTGCTTTGAATCATTTCAGCTTAAAGGTACAAAGTTTGTGCATTTAAACTTTAAAATTTAGTCATTGACATCCATACTAGGCAAAAAATATACTAGTCAATGGTTTCAGTTTCCAACATTATTCAAAATATAGTATTTTATGTTCAAGATCTCAATCAAATTAGGATGAGGTGAAAAGTGAGAAAACATTGACATCATTTTATTTTTGGAGCTTTAAAGTCAAATAAAATGGCAGGTAAAAACTACAATGAGCTTCCTCCAGGGATGGTGACATCACAAACCTTTACATTTACATAAATTTCACCCCTGATAGTGACTTTCCATCAATATTCTTAAGACAGTTAGCAAATCACAACACACTGGGCCAGCTGATCCGTCTAAGCCCATTTCTGAGGTTGGGGCTTCATAGAACCAGGAAGTCAACAGAAACAGAAGTAAAATATATTAAAAACAACAATACAAAAAAAAGCATACATACACAATTAAAAAGCCATTAGTTGACTTTATTTAAAAACTTGAGTAAACTCATAGGTTTTAAGGCGATAAGTTGACTTTAATTTTTACAAAAGATTGAGGAAACCTGTTGCTTTCAAAATTATCAGTTGACTTTAAATAAGATTAGTTGACTTTACTTTAAAAATGTGAGTAAACTTAATAGTTTTAAGGTGATTAGGCTTTAATTTTAAAAAAATTGAGTAAACC